GCTCGAAAAATCCGTGAATCTATATTTGATTATCGTGTCATAAGGAAAAATGAATCAAAAATCTTTTTGGATTGAACGTGTTTTACTATTTTATCATATTTGATCATCGTAATTTCTACTCTACCTTCCCGGAGTCCACCATACTTGGTATGTTTCTCCATATGGTGCATGGCTTCTGTGAGCCTACGATCTCGTTGAAATCATATCAAGACATTTCTTATTTGATATAGCTATTTGCGCAAGTATTTTACGGTTAAGAAGCAATTGGTTCTTGTACAGATCGTGTATGAATTTACTATAACTATTATCCTTTAAATTTGTGATTTTACTTAATTAAGTCATGGGGAAGTATGCATTTAATGAAAACTGTGGCGGGTAGCATGCAATGGATGTTCTGAACCTTTTGGCAGGCTGCGTATTGCTACAATTTGTCTATTTTTTGGGGATACATGTTGACTCTGTTGCTGGTTGGGTACAGTTATTATAATATAATAGCTCAAACTAACATTTTTGGTATGCATATTCGGTGTTGATAATTCTTTTTTTTTCCCCCACTGACTGGAGCCAAGAGAGTGTGGGCACGGGTGTACATCAGTATACCAGTCAAATATTGGTGGCCTACCGTGGATAGTGCAATTACCCAGCTGTCGGTTACCGTTTCAACACAATAGCAGAAGGGGTGCATTTCTATATGACCTATGCGAGAACATGTGGCTTCTCTGTGAGGCAAGGCACACTAAAGCGAGGCCGTGATGGCAAGGTTACAACACTTATTTGTTATGCAACCGAGAAGGCGTAAAAGGTGGCGGTAGAAGCACCCCAAAACCAGTAGAGGGTGGCAGTGGTGGTCCGAGCACTCAACGTAGGAGACGAGTATCTAACAGGGTTAATTGCAACGCTCGAATTTGCATCACAAAAGACAAAGGTGCGGCTTCATTGTCAGTATTTTTGTTCCCGAACACACCCACCGCATGTGCTCCGAGCCTTCGAAACTGTTTATGCGAATCAACAGAAAACTGGACGTGGCCCAGCAAGCGTTCCTTACGAATTGTATTAAAGTTAACGTGGGTGGGTCTAAAGGCTTCCGATTATACAAGGAATCAGTGGGGTCGTTCGCCAACGTTGGTGCAACAGAAACGGAGTTCCATAATTTCAAACGGGACCTCCAGTCATACGTTGCCGATAAGGACGGAGAGATGATCATTGCAATGTTTAACCAAAAACATGACGTCTGTGAGAACTTTTTCTTTGATTACTATCTTGATGAAGGAAACCATGTTGCGCGTCTTTTTGGGGCTGACCACACCGGGCGTCAAAATTTTTTGAGTTTCGGTGATGTGATTTCTTTTGATGCAACGTATGGTACGAATAGGTATGTCAACGTTACACCGTTCATTCTGTGCATGCTAATCATACTGAAATGTAGTAGTCACTTAATATTGTTTTTGTGAATTTTTGTATTGTTCATGTTAAGTGCACGTTGGTGACATGTTAGTGGGAATTGGGCGGCGTCCGAATCACTAAATTTGTTGCCACCATGCTAACGTGTGAACTCGTTGTATTGCAGGTACAGTTTGGTGTTCATACCTTTTACCGGAGTAGACCATCACAAACGGTGCATTACGTTTGCTGGTGGGTTGGTAACTCGAGAAGACACTGACTCATACGTGTGGGTCCTGGAGAGATTTAAAACAGCAATGGGAAAGAGCCCCTTGTGCGTCGTAACTGATGAAGATCCGGCTATGAAGAGTGCTATTGCACGAGTACTGCCAGAGTGCCGTCATCGTTACTGCATGTGGCATATCATGACCAAAGTGAGTGAGAAGTCAGGGGCTGAACTATCAAAAGATCAGAATTTCCGTAACCAGCTTAACAACATTGTGTGGAATGAGACCATTAGCATTGATGATTTTGAAACGCAATGGCAGTCATTAATGGAGAAGTACAACTTAACGGGCACCGATGGTTTACTAAATTATACACAGACCGGAGGTTTTGGATTCCTTCATATTTTTTAGATTTACCCATGAGCGGTGTTCTACGTACCACCTCGCGTTCAGAAGCGGAGAACAGTGCGTACGGTAAAAACACACGCCCACATTGTAGTCTGGTCGAGTTCTACGTGCAATTTGAGAGCGTCCTAGAAACTCAACGGCACAGACAAAGTAAATTAAATGCTGAGAGTGAAGGGTCCTTGCCTGATTTCAAAACTCCTTTAGCATTGGAGCGACACATGGCGCAGGTATTTACCTTAACAGTGTTTTATGAGCTCCAGGTAGAGATCGAAGCTGCATGTTTTTATTGCAGTGTTGTGGGGATCCATGCATATGGTGAGTGCATCCGTTACGACATTAGAGGGGAGTACAACGTTGTCCATACTGTTGAATATACCCCGTCTTTGACTATTGCGACATGTAGCTGCAAGTTGTTTGAAAGATTGGGGTTTGTTTGCCGGCATATGTTTCTTGTGTTCAAAGATGCCGAAATGGTGAGCTTGCCATCGCGTACATCGCAGCACGATGGTGTAAGCAAGAAGGACTAGCTAGCTGGTGTGCTCGATGTTCTGACTGCCCTCCTTTAGAAACTGTGCCTAGTCAGTTGTGGACTGAGATACACAATTGTGCCGTGATAGTTGGAAGCAATAAAGTGCGCCAAACGCGAATGCTACAGGTAATAAAAGAATTAAGAGACGAGTTTCTGGGCGATGGTATGGACGTTGACCCCCCAAAAGGAAACGGTGTTGCCATTGCAGCTTTGTGCGGTGTGGAGCCGCCGACGTCCATAATTATCAAACCGCCAGCTCAAGCAAAAAACAAAGGGACCGGCAAGCGAATTAAAAGCCAACGCGAGTTAGCTATTGAGAGGAGTGGCAAGGCTAGCAGAAAGTGCGGGGTGTGCGGCGAGTATGCACATCATAATGCCCGCAGCTGTCCGTTGAAGTGATTAGTGCGCCCAAACAGACATTACTGGTTATGATTAGATACATTGGGATTTTGGCTAATTTTATTAATTCTAGGTTTCTATCCTTTGTATTTGGTTATTAATAATGACTTTGGAGTGTTTGTCCATTTTATTAATTCATTCCTCTGGCGATTTTAGCTAATTTTATTAACTCTACGTTTATATCCTTTGTATCCGATTATTAATAATGACTTTGGAGTGCAGATGCATGTGTATCTGGTTATTAATAATGACTTTGGAGTGTTTGGAGTGTGTGTGGGGTCTGCTTTCTGTGGTACCTGAATGGTGATTGGTTAACCTTCTAAAAACTATTAATTTTTTTTTTTTTTTTGTGGTGTGGGTGTTTGGCTGCCCGCATTATGACTGGTAAGTGGGGTTCTTGGATCTAAATACTCATGTTATCATTCTGTTTGCTGTTAATTTGTCCTAGGGATTCAAGGTGTTCAAATGTGGGGAAAATATATGTTGTCCTAGGGATTCTCTTGTGGTGTAAGCTTGTAATACCGATAAAAAGTTTCCAAATGCTTGTGTACCTTTGTTATAGAGTAAATATTTTAAAGCAAATTCAAGCATATACCCCTACCCAAACAAAAACAAAAGATTAAAGCATTTATGCATGCATATATTGTTGCAGTGGTAAATTTAATGTGTATTATTTGAAGCATGCAATGCATGCATTATATAAATGCCGAAAGGGGTATTGGGGTGGAGATGGGATAATGGGATTGGAGTAAAAGTGCACTGTATTGCATGCATGTAATTTAAATACCATCATCATTAGCAAATTAGAATGGTTCTGTCTTTTGTTTCTTTTATTTCGTGTTAAATTAACTATCTAAGCTACCTACCTTTCCCTCTCATAATGCATTTATTTCAACCTCATACCCCTGGTGCTTTTCATGGTCTATGGTGATAGTAAGTTAAATTAAGTGGTGAATTTATTTCATGTGTCGCATGAAATTAGTGGTGTATTTATTTCACTGAAGTTGTACTTTACCAAATTAGTAGTGTAAAATTAAATACAATTACGAACCCTTTCATGCATTTGTGCCGGCATTTTCTAGAGATAACATTGAAGAAATTTTTATTCCAGCCTGGAAAAGTATATATACCCCATATGAAGACTAGTGCTGCGCACCAAACTAAACAAAATTAAACAGCCAATACTTTGCTCAGGCTGTGCACTAACCTAAATAGATCTAAGCAGCCACTACCTCATACCCGAGTTTTTCATTGTGGTGCTCCTCCCATTAGTTGTTCGGCCCTATGGCGGTCATACTCCACTGCCCGTGTGCGGATATCATCGATGTTGGCATTGACTGTACATAGTAAGATGTTATGCAGAAACCTCGTCCGCATATTTTCAATCACTGCGGCATCCCCCGTCCCCAACCCACAATGCCAATATCTGGGATCTTGACCAACAAAATCTTCCATATGTCTCATTGTGTATACTCCCGAGTCACCGTTGGTAGGGTTGTCTGACCACGCCAACCTCATCCTCTCGGGCTGCATGTTCCTCAACCGCAGCGCCCGCACAGTGTGCTGGTTGTTATCTAGGTATGCGGCGAGGAGGTCCCTCTGGAAACAAAAGATTAGTTCAGCAGGTGTGCGAGTATACTTAACCAATAGTATTAAGTGTTGAGGGTGCATGATGTTTACCAACTCATTTGGAGCTGCGCCGTACATCTCTGTCCCCACGCTAGTCGTCGGTGAGCTGTCTATGATGAGAAACCCATTATGCTTAAAACTTACGCACATCACGTAGAATCGTGCCTCGTGGAATACGGGGAAGAAATACTGCAAAACCCAAATAATAGTGGTTAGCCTACGATGTCCGCTATGCGTAGCCGATTGGATCGCCTATTCGGAACACGACCGGCGTCTTACCATGTCCAATGTGGCTGTCCCCACATGGTGAGTTGTTTGGAATTCAGCATCAAGACGCCGTTGAAACCACATTACCCTTTGATCCCGCCTGGCTGCAATGTTCACCACCGTCCCAATCTGCACCAATACTAGTTAGTAGATATATATAAACCCCAAGATGCTAATTGTGTTTGTTTGTGCACAGTGCGGTGCTGAATGGGTGCACTACGAAGAATATATACTCTTGTTAATTGTATATAGTGTAACATTATGTGTTGACTGTTTTGCGAAGAATGTAAATTAAATTGCATGATCCACACTACCGTCGCCGACGCTGACACAAACAATCGAGAAGGCATGTCCCGACCCCCGGTTGCTCCCTTGCATTGAGCACCGAGCACCATGCATCTACCACTGGTTTCCCAACATCCGTCCTTGCCTTTAATGTTAAAAATTGATACCATCTGACTGTGCGCGTGGCATGGCGGAATAGAACTTCATTCCTGTATTTTTACTTTTTTTTAAAGACAAAATGACGGAGCCAACGCAGGCTTGTATATATTCGCACGTGACATCCATGCAACTTACCGATGACCGTGTGGGGAGTTGAACAGCCACATCCAAACGACATACACTGGTGGTAACGGTATGTTAGGGTACCCATTGCTGGTGCTGAAAAACATGCCAAAATGCTGGTCTGCCGCCCCAACGGTGGTCCTTGGCTGACGATCCGGGCCTGCTCTCACCCCTGGGGATACGGGCTGTGCTGTTGACCCCCCTCCCGGTTGCGCTTGCATGGATACCTGCACCTAGAAGTTAGAAAATACCATGCAAATCGCGCGTAATTCACATGGCTGTACCTATTAATACCCCTCACCTGCTGAGTTGGCGTGTGTACAGTTGACGGCCCTAGCGTGTTGCCGTCTGCCCTCGTGGTTGCGAACTCCTGAGTCAACCCTAGACTAAATGTTGGTGCCTCAAAGTCCCCTGTGTCCTGCGTTGCAACCTGTTGTGCCTGCCTTGGTATTATCGCTCGTCTTGCTTCCTCCTCCACCCGGTCTAGCTCCCTTATGAATTGCGAGTCTTGCCAAAGGTTGTCGTCTAGATGGCCAGTCGTCACAGTTTGTGGTTGAGGTGGCTGTGGGCCGGTTTGTGGTTGGGTGGCTGTGGGCCGGTTCGTGTTGAGGTGGCTGTGGGCCGGTTTGTGGTGTCCCTTTACGTGCCCAGCTTAATAACAGATTACCCACGTTGGCAATCCTCGGGAAATTTCGGTCCTCGAAAGCTAGTGTTTGATTTTTCCTTATTGTTTCTGCAACCCGTGTGGCTATCGCTAGCAGGTCCCTAGTCATGGCTGCGAATTCTTGGTGGAACCCCTACAGGCAAGCGGTTGGTTAGAAAAGAAACAATATAGCAACGTCAACCGGTGCAATAGTAAGGAAACAATATGCATACCCCGGTAGAACTTGTAGTGGTGGCGTTGTGCACTGTTTGTGTAGCCCCGTCTCCTACTCGTGCAGTAGGGTTCCTAGCACGTGCCGCCGCCGCATGTACCAGTGCATCAACCTGCAGTTAAATCAATTTTGTTACGGACACTCGTGCACATTGTATAACCTAGTGCACCAGTTTATTTTGGCATACTGTAATGGGTCTAGGAACGCGTGGGCGTTGTTCAACCCGAGTAGCTTGTGGTACTTGCCGTGCATCCCCCTATAAATGATCCAAAGGAAAAAAAATGAACCACACAACTCCTGTACACATAAAATTAAATAAAACTAAAATTTAAACAACCTCCTGTATAATAAGCACAGGGATACGGTAAAATAATCTGCCCGGGCACTCAAATCTGACCGGGCACATAACAGATGTGCATACTTAATAAGAAATTAGGGCTATTACAGTATGAACCAGTATTACAATGCACAAACAGGCTATTCTGCGTGGTTTGTGCACACATTTTCTATGAGCTGCCATACCGTAACCGGTCGTGGCCCTTGGCCAATCCGAGTGTCCTGCGGTTCTCTCCGTGCACTATTATTAGGCGGTGCATCCTCCTGCATGTCCTGAATTAGACATACATATATAATAGTTCCATGCGCAGAAACTGTATATAAACTACTTAGCCACCACCTACATATCTAACTAGATATACACACCACAATCAAATTAAATAAACCTATAATTTAGGCAGTACGAAACAGTATTACAATGCACAAATACACTGCTTTACCGTAATAGCACTAGGCCCGGCCCGTGGTGAACTGGCCGTGGCGTGTGGCCAACCCGAGCGACCTGCGGTTCTCCTCGTGGACTATTATTAGGCGGTGCATCCCCCTGCAGGTCCTGAGTCAGACATACATATATAATAATGCCATGAACAGAAACTGTAGATACCTGTTTAAACACAACCTAAATATATAACTAGCTAGAAAAACTTAATAATAGATAAATCACAGCACAACACCGCTAATAATCTTTTTTTTTTTTTAAATACACTGGAATAACACAAAAAATGCACTAGTTAAAGTTGCTACCTCACTACCTAGCATCTCGATTACCTTCAGTTATTGTTTTTTTTTTTTTGGCAATTAGAGTATCTTGATTATTTTGAGTAACTAGTATTCTGTTTTTTACACTATTCCCATGACCTCCACCACCCGCAAGCAATAAAAATAAATAATAGACACTGAATAAACAAACTGCACTAGTTAAGTT